GGGGCCACGGCCGTGGCCATGGGAGATGCCGCGTTGGGCACTCCCTGGGAGGTCACTGCGTCGGCTGCCGAGTTGGAGTGGCCTGAAGAGACCCAGATGCATGCAGAGCTTTCTGAGCCTTATTTGGGAAGAGGTGGCGCTGCTCGCGTGGACTGGCGCCGTCCTGCTCGTCTCGCGCCCGCTCCGTTTCCTCGGCTGTGCCCGCGAGCTGTGCCCGTTGGCGGCCGCTGGCGTCGGCCGCCATGGTCTTCGCGAAGCTCCCCAGTGGCCCCCGAGCCGCCCGGGCTCTCGAGCTCGGGCCAGGCGCCCCCAGAGCTCTCCTGATCCTGGCGAGCCCGACTCGGAGCTCGAGTCGCGCCTTCTCGGCGCCCTGGACAAGGTCAGTCGGCGTGATTATGTCGCCGTTGGCCACTTTGCCGCGGCGGCCTGCGAGCGCGCCGACCGCCCGCGCAAGCCGGCGTCCCAGCTGAAGATTTTAAACAGGAGCTTTTGCGTGGAGAACCACTCGGCGGGGGGGCTGCAGCCCCCTTCAAGTGCGTTCAGCTGCCCGACCCCCGGCAACCCCGACCTTCGGCTCGTTCGCTTTCCGCCCCGGCGCCAGCGCAGAGGAAACGGGCGAGGTAGGGAAGGAGTGGGGTGGGCGGTGGCAGGCGAGGAAAACGCCCCCCCCCCCACCACACGAGCGACCCGAAGACGTACGGCAGATGCCGCCGCCGCCGATAATTCCGGAGCTCAAGAAGGCGTCGATGCTTTTTCTGGCAGGCGCTGGATGTCGACGCGATCAGGCCCCGCCCGCGATCTCCCCGCGCTTGCCCGACCCCTCGCTGCAGCTGCTTCGCGACCTGCTCGCGTGGACAGAAGCGCTGGCGGGCAGGCCCATGACGTCGCCCACGACCGCAACCCAGGGAGTGATTTTAGCTCGGGGAGGTCTCTCGCGCGGTCCACGAGGGCATTCGGGATGAAGGTATGCAAAAGCAGGATGACACGCCAAGAGCATCGGAGGACGCGGGCAGCCCCGGGATTGCCATTGAATTTGGATCTCCGTTCAAGGAGTTGCCGCGTAGGAACCCGACCATCTTCGCTCGCGCGCCGTCGCGGCCACGGGCGCAAAGGCTAGCGTCGAGCGCCACGCCGTGTCCTTTGTGTTTGTATGATCCGATCTGGAGGTCGACGCCCGAACCCATCGACGCGTTGGCCGCAGCCCTTTTGTGCCAATTTTGTTTTTCGCCATGTTCTCGTTCAGGGGCTCGAGGCGGCCCGCGCGGAGACGGCTGGGTCATGAGGTCCGCGGGCTTTTGCGCGCGGCTCGTTTGGGGTCCTCCGCGCCATTCTTGAGCGCGCGGGAATCGTCTGGGTGGGGCCCCGTCGCCGGGGAGCTCTTTGATGGGCTCAAGCTGCGCCTGGATGACATGTGCCCCAGAGTCCTGATACAATGCGGTCGCCATGCTATCCGGGGCTGGATCAGCTTGCAGGTGGCCGAGCGTCTGGATATGCTTGAGTTTCGGATTGTATTCTGGAGCGGGCTCGGGAAGTATCTCCTCAGCAAGGACTCTTTTAAGTGGCAGCAGCGCAGTCACCTTCGGAGTGTCATTGTTAGTGCGCAGCGCCGTCAAAAAAACGGCAGTTTCAGCAAGGTTGGAATGCCGCCACGGATTGCCTTGCATGTGCGAGAGCCCCTGGGCCCCTCTTCCACGGGCGCACCGAATGCCTTTGCATGCTTGAAGCAATAGGAGAGGCGCTACCTGTTCTTGTTAGACCGCCGAAGCCACAGGTCGACCGTCATGCTCGGGATCAGCTACTTTTAGAGCGCGGTCTCCTGTCTGTCCCTAGCGCGCAGTTGCTGGCGCTGGCGGGTTTATCTTCCGAGTGGTTCGGGGTCCCGCGGGCTCCGGGCTCCCGCGGGAGATCTGCACCTCGATGGTGATATTTTCTTGGATGTCCTCGTCGAGGGGCGGCGGCGCGGGCCGCCGCTGCGTTTGCAGTAAGCAGAAACGCGCAGGTCTGCGCGATCACAGGTCTACTACCGTCGCCATTGCAAGACGCTGATGGTGCGGAGCACTATGCGCTGCTTATTTCGTCGCGATTTCTTGCGGCCCCCTGTCGCCATCCACGCGGATTTTGACTTCGCGCACAAAGGCTTAAATGTGCGCGGCTCTTTTCATACCGCCTGCGCGTTGGCCGCTCGGGCGTGCCCGCTGAAGCAGGCACGGCGCAAGGTCGATAATTGGGGGGTGACGTCCCTACTGGGGTTAAGAAGGTGACAGGACGCGTCGCCGGTGCCATGGTAGAGGAGGGCAGGCGCAGGGAGCGCGACAAGTTGGGAAACGATGTTGCCGATCAAAGTGCGAGCAACCGTGCCCGCGACACGCGGCCGCATCCGCGATTCGTGATGCTTGTCGTCACTCAAAGGAAGATCGGTGGATTGACGGGGAGATGGATTGCTGGGGCGGGCGGGTAGGTTCTCCTCTTTTGGTTGCTTTCGCCGCCAGCGCTCTAGTCCGTCAGCCTTCTCCATGATTCTCGCGCAGCCAGAGCCCGCTTTGGAGCAGAGGATCCTGGAGGCCCAGGTCTGATTGCGCGCCGCAGGGTCCAGGAGCCACCAGGCGGGGCGTTTTGCCGTTGATCTCGCAAGTGTGCCTTTTGCTGCATGAGTTGCGCATCGTTCGCCACATCGCGTCTGGTGACATTGGCTTCTGGGCGCAAGCCCCAACATTTGTCGAGGGACCGCAGTAAGATTCTTGTTCCCCCCCATGCGTGGCGAGTTCAGGTTGAATGATGCGTGGCAGCGAGTTTCTGGCTTCGGCCCGTTCCCCTTGCCGTCCGAAGGCCTGGGGCTCGCTTGGCCAACGCTCGCCCACTGCCCCAGCCTCGGGCGCCAACTAGCGCGCTGCCGCTTGCCTTTTTGGGGTTGGAGCTCGTGGGACCAGCGCTCGCCCACTTGCGTGCCAGTGCTTCTGCTTTTGTTTCTCGCGGCCCAAGCTTCCCGCGCTTGGTCTGTCCTGGTCCCGTTCGTTATGGTATGGCCCTCGTCGGTGGTGCTCCGTGCGTTTGCCGCCGCGGGTCGGGCCTCTCGAATGTAACGCGTTATTTCACGGGCCTGGTGCCCAGCGCATCAGTGCACCAGAGGTTCCGCGTGAAGCTCTGTCGTCCTTCTACACATGTTGTGGAGAAGACGGCCCCGATCAAGGTGGAGTGGGCCACCTGCGCGCTCCTGACGGTGGATAGAGTCTGTCCGCCGCCAGTCTGCGCCCTGGAAAAGAGGAGGAGGACTTGGAGGAAGAGGAGGACAAAGAGGGCCAGTGTAAACCCACGACTCATCAACGATGTTGGAGTCAACCCTCCCCCCCGAGTTCCCTCTTCACAGGCCCTTGCACGGACGCATGTCGATTTAGGGAAATGACCGGTCGGGGGACAACCGTTCGGAGATCCTGAAGAGTACCAAACACCATGTTCGGGATTTCCGCGCCACGGACCGATCTTTTTGTTAAGGCGATTGCGTGCGGCACTAAAGCGGTAACCGCATGTTGAACATGGCCCGCCGTCAATCCGTGGAGTTCGCGCACGTGTGTAAGACGAAGGTGTTTCGGCTTTGACGCGAGAGCCACATTTTGAAAACCACCCGCCCCCAACCCGTGGAACATTTGTTTTTTATTTAAAAGAACGACTGCTCGCGGCGCCGAAACGAGAACAACAATTTTGGGAACCACGCGCGCTCCATCTGCGAAGTTGCTTCCAATGCTGAAAGTTTCGGGATCATCACTGTAAGGAAATCTAAGGCGAAACGCCTGGCCTGCCCTTCGAATGGCTTCGGAGTGCGAACGGGAGGGGCTATTCAGAAGGAAGAGTAATGGAGGAGGAGGAGGAGGAGGAGGAGGAGGCGGAGGAGGAGGAGGAGGAGAAGGAAGGGCACGAGGAACGGCCCCCAATAGCAACCAGGGGTAGCAAAAAGCAAGGGTACCCAATTATTTGTCGCTACGTTTTTTGTTGAGGCCCCTGGGGGCCCGCGTTGGGTCTGAGGGCCCACTTGGCGAGCCACGGCGCGCTCCGCGTTGTGTTTTGCGCATCCGTATGCATTGGGTGCGAGGCGTGGCCTGGGAGGCATGGCCCCGAGGATCTCGTGGACCGTTCAGTTTCATGTATGTGTATCTGTGTGAGTGCCAGCGTGGGCCCCAACAAGGAGATGTTGCACCGTGGATGTGTAGGGTGTGTGGTGCAGTCTGTGTTGTGTGCGCTACGTGGTGGAGTACACGTGGTGCAAGCTATGTGGTAGTTACCCATGTCGTGCAAGTTATGTGGTGTGAACTATGTGGTGCAAGCTGTGTGGTGTAAGCTAGGTGGTGTACGTTATGCGTTTTACTTGCTGCGGCGCAAGCCTTATGATGCAAGGCACGCAGTGCAATACACGTTGTGCAAAACACATGGTGTATAATACGTGGAGTAAACTACGTGGTGCGAATAATGATATGTGTGAGCTACAGAGACAAGAGCACGTGGGAAGTGCAATGTCACGCGATACATGCGGTCCAACACATGTGATGCAGGCTGTGAGGTGCAAGCCGGGCGGCGCAGGGTATGCGGTGCAGTGCCATTGGTGTACACCGACCAACCGCACGGGGCGCCCACGAGGCACCCACGACCGGCCAACAAGCGGGCACCAGGCGAAACCCCCGCGGACCGACCCAGCGCACAGGGCGCCCACGACCTGCCACCAGCCAGGCACCAGGCGAAACCCCGGCGGGTGCACTCGGCGCACGGGGCGCCCACGGGCGGCCACCAAGTTGGCACCATGCGAAGCCTCGGCGGACCCGTCCATTTTCCCGGGTGGCCCACGCAAGAGCCCTCTAGGTGCAAACGCCATTTCGGGGATCGGTGCGTGTTTCCCGACACCTGAGCGTTGCAGATATCGGCATCCAGCGCTTCGCCAGGTCCTGGGGGAGAGGTCTCACAATTGGCGGATGTGGACATTTCCCGTTGTTAGGAAGCCCAGCAGTGCAGTCTGGATGTCGGAGGCCCTGGGAGCCGGTGGCCAGGAGCTCATCTCGTTGCGGGCCGACGTGGACGTAGACCTGCTGGACCACGAAGGGGCTGGCGCGATCCTGTCTAGGTCGAAGGGGGACCCGACCAACCCGCTGCTCGCGACCTACCGAATGCAGGAGCGCCTCTGATCGCGACCCGATAAATGGCTCAAACATCAGCGGTTGGAGATCCATCCTCATGTCGAGCGCCCCCCTCCCCGCAAACCCTAGCGGCGCTTCCAGCCCCGCGTCTGGCTCGCCCCGCGCGCAGGGGAAGGGGCTAGGGGGACGGGGGGGTCCAGCGCCGACCCAAGAAATGCGCTCGGATTCATCGGTGTTGGATCTTCTACATGCGAGGGGTTGGTGGGGGGGAACAGGGAGCCCCTCGATCCTGGGCGCATCCGCTTCGGGCCTCTGGTCATGCGGGGGGGGGCCGTTGGAGCGCCTTCAGTTGCAGCCGTGGCGCATGCCATCCGCGGGCACCGCTGCCACATGGAGAACATGGATGGCGGTATCGCCTTGACGGGGCACGCCACGCATACCTCGGGCGATCACAAGGGGGGGGGGGGGGGGGGGGGGGGGGGGAAGAGAGGTGCACCTCTTGTGCACCTCAGGGGCCCTAAGAGGCTCTCTGGGGGCCCAAGAAGGCAAGAAAGGAGCACGTTCCTTCGCCCCCTCATTGATCGCCCCCCCCCCAGGAAGCAGCGCCCCATCGCCACGGTCCTCAGCTGCCCTGATGCGGCCGTGTTGAAACGCAACACGTGCCGTGCTCAGCACGCACGTGCCACCACGCTGCGTATTGGCTCGGCACGTGGTGGCCCACGTTCCGGCGAGCGTCTCGCGCCAGATGCACGCTTTCGGTCTACGGCTGGCGCTCCGCGTCAACACGCCACGTGTTGCGTGTTGCGTATCGCGGCGGCCAAGCTACGGTCTGATTACCGTGATGCAGTAGCGGCCCCCTGCCCACTGCCCCCCCTCCCCCTCTGGCCTTCCACTCGCTCCCTCCCCGACTTCGGCGTGCTCCCTCGCTCCGCGGCGAGCCCGGGGCGGCAATGTGAAGGGGCAGGCCTTCTGAGAAGGCGCAGAAGTCGCCTTCTGGGAATTTTTCTACGCATTCCCCGAAGACGCCGAAATCTTCTCAGAAGGCCGGAGGCCCTCTGAGAAGCCCCGCCGCCTTCTGAGAGTCGACTAGACGCAAGAGTGACCTTTCGCCAGAGTGACCTTTGGTGCGGGGGGGCACAGATGGGTCCTCAGATGGCTGAAAAAGAAGTGGTAGCAGCGGCTTGTGCGCCCAGGTTTTTGTCTTTCCGCGGCCCCCAAAGAGCCGCGCACCAAAGGTCACCCTTATCCAGGGTCACTCTTGCGGGTAGCCGAGAGAAGGCCTTCTCCTTTTCATTTCCCACCCTCGCCCGCCGCCGACTCTCTCCCTGAGGCCCTCCCGATGCCTTGCCGCCTCTGCCCGGTGCCCGACGGGCCCCAGCTGCGGAGGGGGGCCTGTCGACGTCCCCCAAGGAGCCTGGCAGCCGCTTCCAGATCAAGCTGCGCACGGTGGCGCCTCCTCTCTTAGCATGCTCATTGCGGGAAGGGCCCTACTGGCAGACAACCGTCTGAGGATCCCCAGTCGCTCCCAAACAGCATTCTTGGGCATTCGGCGCCGTGAATCAGCGTGACTGTTGCGTCCTAGCAGTCCTGAATCATGCCAGAACACCGAATTTGGTTTTGAACACCACGAATCAAAGATACTGCTGCGTCCTCCGGCTCCTAAACCGGACCAGAACATAATTCATTGAACTTCGAGCATCCTACAAACTTGTAAAACGCATGTGCGCGGCGTTTGGGCGAGAGGAACCTTGCGGAGAGGAGCTGCCATCAATGTCAGTAACGGTTGCAACCTTTGAAGACGACTGTGCGAGGCGCTGAGGCGAGAGCGACATTTAGGAAAGGACCCGCCCTCCATTGTAGGAGCTGCTGCGCACGCTTGAAAATCATGTGCGCGGCGCTCAGGCGAGAGCGACATTTTCAGCATGGGCCGCCCATCATGTTTGAAACGATTGCAGACTTCTTAGACGAATGAGCGAGGGCGGCGCCCAGGCGAGAGCGACATTCTGAAAAGGACCCGCCCCCCATTCTTGAGAGCTCTTGCAGACTTTCAGAGCGACCGTGTGCGGTGCCGAAGCGAGAGAGCCAACTTTGAAAAATCGACCCGCCCTCCGCCCCTGAAGCTGGTGCAAGTCCGGAGCTCCGGGACCAGGCGTGACGAGGAAGTCTCGGGTGAAGCGCCCCGCCCGCCCCACCGACGCGTCCGGGGACGCGGGCCCGGGGGTGGGCCCCGAGACGGAGGAGCGAGTGAAAATCCAGACGGGCAGGCGTGCCTTGTCTGGTTTGGGCCCAGGGTGCGCCTCTCTCGCGAGCTGCGTTTTCCACGCGGAGCAGCAAGGGGGAGGAGGAGGAGGGAGGCAGCCGAGGAAAGGGGACGAGGGAAGCGGAGGAGGAGGGAGGAGGATGAGGAGAGGAGGAGGGCGACCGAAGCGGAGGAGCAGGAGGGAGGATGTGGAGAAGGGGGAGGAGGAGGAAGAGGAGCAAGAGAAGGAGGACCAGCAGGGCAAGTGAGGAGGGAGAACGAGAACGAGGGAGGAGGTGGATGGGGAGGATGGGGAAGGGGGATGAGGAGGGATCATGAGGAGAGTGAGGAGGAGGATGACGAGGGGCAAAAAGGGGGAGGAGGAGGAGGAGGAGGAGGAGGAGGAGGAGGAGGAGGAGGAGGAGGAAGAGGAGGTTGAAGACGCTGGGAGGAGGAGGAGGAGGAGGAGGAGGAGGAGAAGAAGAAGGAATACCAGAGTGAACCGAAGTTGCATCGACGACGTTCAAAGTCCCCTCACCAGTCCCTACAGGGTGCTCGTCAACAAAAGAGCGACCAGGGATGCCGTTCAGGCGAGAGCCCCGTTTTGAATACGATTCGCCTTGCAAATGTGTAGCGAGAAACAGGGAGCGCGCACATGTATGATCATGCAGATCAGCGTGGTATACAGCGAGATCCTCATTCCGAAAAAGACCGCCCCATCTGTGAACATGTTGCACCAGCGTTCACTTCTGGCCAGGCGCGCACAGGAAGCTTGAAGCGAGCGCCCCAGTTCGAGGATGGGCCGCCCTCAAGCCGTGCAGCTGTACCATGCGTCCAGCTGGGGGGGGGGGCACCACGAGCCGCCGAGCGAGAAGAGATCGCGCTGCAGAGGACTCGCCGTCGGCTGCCTGCAACGCCACAGGCCGACGAGCCCTGCCCCCACGTGTAGACCGCAGGAGCAGAAACACGTGCCACTGACTCGGTGCGCGGGCGATTGCCGCCACTGCTTAGGAGGACGCTCTCCTCACAAAGTGTGGCCGTTTTCCTGCTGAGAGGGGGGCCAGAGAAGCGGCGGAGGAGAGCAGGAGGAGGAGGAGGAGGAGGAAGACAAAGAGCGGGCAGCGTGGTCGTACAAATCGGCCGGCACGCGCAAGGGCCAGCAGAACGAGGCAATCGGTATTTGAAGTCAGCGGGTGACGGGGTATCTCCCCGATCCCAGTCACGCTGGCGAGAGGCAGGAAGGGGGAGGAACAGAGACGAAGGAACCAGATCAAGAGAGAATTATTGAGAGACTCTCAGTGACAAGCACCCACACCCACTAGAATGACGCGCCCAGCAGGCCTGCGAGCACGGATGGTACGCAGCAGAAGTCTGGGTGCGAAGCACGCGGCAGAATGAAGATGAGATTGGGCGGCCAAGGAGAGGCCAAGCCCGCCGAAAACATTGCAAGCTTGAGGCGGACCCAAGAGAAACAGGGCGGCCCGCAGGGTCTGGCAGTGCCAGGCGAGGAAGCGGCCTCGGCCCACGTGCAAGCAGTGCCACAGCACCAATTGTAAGAAGAGGGGGGGAGGGGAGGAGAGAGCAAAGAAGGAGACGACATAAGGATTATACGATGCAGTCAAACTACTTACGCAGTCAAACTACTTCGGCCAGCCCTACCCCAGGCATGCGACCGCCGTGCAGTCACTTCCAGTGCCGGCACTTCCTGTAGACGATGTGCCGATGTGCTGCTGCTGGTTGGGAAGGATATTTCCAGTTTGGGGGGGCCTTTCAGTTCACAGAAGTCCCAAGCGAACGCCCACTGCTGAAAAGGAACCGCCCTCCACCGCGCAGCGGTGGCATATGCTCAAACGTCTCATCTAGAAAGCAAAAGGAGTCCCAAGCGAAAGTCCCACTTTGAAACGCAACCGCCCACAACCCTTGCAAACGTTGCAGACTGCTGGACGAATGTGCGCGGCGCGAAGGCGAGATCTCTTTTTTGAAAACGGCTCGCCCTTCATACCTGTTGTTGTCGCAGAAAGTTTACAGCGAATGTGCTCGGCTTGGGGGCGGGAACACCATTTTGAAACCAAAATCCTCAATCCTTGAAGCGGCTGCGAGCCTTTAAGGCCAATGTGCACTGCGCTCCGGCGAGAGCTCCGTTTCCAAAACGGCCCACCTCGGTTCTTGAAGCAATTGCAGACTTCTGGGGCGAATGTGCGCCTCTCCATGGCGAGAACCCCGTGTTGAAAAGGAACCGCCCTCCTTCTTCGAAGCACCTACAACATCTTGAGACGAGTACGCCTGGCGCTCAGGCATGAACTCCATTTTCAAAACGTCCCCCCTCGGTCCTTGACGCAGCTGCAAGTTTTTAGGCCGAGTGTGCGTGGCGCGGTGGGAAGAGGCCAATTCTGAGAGGAGCCGCCCTCTTTTGGGCCGAGTGTGCGTGGCGCGATGGCGAGAGGCCAATCCTGAGAGGAGCCGCCCTCCATCCTTGGAGCTGCCGCAGCCTGTCAAGACGAAGATGCTTGGAGCTCTGGCGGAGCTCCATTCTGAAAACGACCCCCCCCGTTCCCTGATGAGCGTTTTTTGTTGCCCACATCCTGAGTGGGTTTATTGTTTTCCTAGACCACCTCTCCTTCTCCTTCTCCTTCTCCTCCTTCTCCGCTTCCTTTATGTATACCATACCATACCTGCCACACCCTACCAATAACATATGTACTATATATACGATTACTATATATACGATTACGTACAATACTATACCATACCTGCCATGCCATACCTATCGCATTACCTGCCATCCCCTACCATACCCTACGTACTACACTATACCATACCTGCCATAACCATAGCTACCGTATTCGCAAACCATACTGGATATCAGGGTTCGTGCCCGCCCCTCCCACCCCTCTAGGGAGGCCCCGCCAGAGCGAGGAGGGCACCCCCAAGCCATACTACTTACAAGGTTTCGTGCCCCTCCCACCCCTCCAGGGAGGCCCCGCCCGAGCGAGGAGGGCACCCCCAAGCCATACTACTTACAAGGTTTCGTGCCCCTCCCACCCCTCCAGGGAGGCCCCGCCCGAGCGAGGAGGGCACCCCCAAGCCATACTACTTACAAGGTTTCGTGCCCCTCCCACCCCTCCAGGGAGGCCCCGCCCGAGTGAGGAGGGCACCCAAAACCATACAATGTACAACGTTTCGTGCCCCTTTCCCAGCCCTCTAGGTAGGCCCCGCCTGAGCGAGGAGAGTATCCCCAAGCCATACTATGTACAAGGTGTTGTGCCCCTCCCACCCCTCCAGGGAGGCCCCGCCCGAGCGAGGAGGGCACCCAAAACCATACAATGTACAACGTTTCGTGCCCCTCCCACCCCTCCAGGGAGGCCCCGCCCGATCGAGGAGGGCACCCCAAACCATATGATTTTCAAGGTTTAGTGCCCCTCCCACCCCTCCAGGGAGGCCCCGCCTGAGCGAGGAAGGTATCCCCAAGCCATACTATTTACAAGGTTTCGTGCCCTTCCCACCCCTCCAGGGAGGCCCCGCCCGAGCGAGGAGAGCATCCCAAAACCATACTAGATATCAGGTTTCGTGCCCCGCCCACCACTCCAGAGAGGCCCCGCTTGAGCGAGGAGGACATCCCCAAACCAATATATTTACAAGGTTGCGTGCCCCTCTCACCCCTCCAGGGAGGCCCCGCCTGAGCGAGGAGGGTCTCCCAAAACCATACTAGTTCGAAGGTTTCGTGCCCCTCCCACTCGTCTAGGGAGGCCCCGCCTGAGCGAGGAGGGTATCCCAAAACCATACTATGTACTAGGTTTCGTACCCCTCCCACTCTTCCAGGGAAGCCCCGCCTGAGCGAGGAGGGTATCCCAAAACCAATCTATTTACAAGGTTCCGTGCCCCTCCCATCCCTCCAGGGAGGCCCCGCCTGAGCGAGGAGGGTATCCCCAAACCATAGTATTTACTTTGTTTCGTGCCCCCGCACCCCTCTAGGGAGGCCCCGCCTGAGCGAGGCGGAGGGGGAGTTCGGCGATGAGGAAGGGTTGATGGTGATGATGGTGGAGACGATCATGATGAAGATGACGATGACGATGACGACGATGATGACGGCCTCCTTTGACCGCGTCCTACACATCCATCCTCCCCCCATGCTGCTTCCCCTCGCCTCCGCCGGCCCTTCCATGACAATATATGGACATCATAGGCCTGCATTTGTTGGCACTGCTTTTATGCTCTCGTGATCCCGCCAACACCGTAACATCCTTATGTGGGGAACTCCGTTAGCATAATTGTTCCTCCCCAGCGTAGCGTTCGTTACCCAGGCCAACCCCCCCCTCCAGGTAACGCTAATGATTGTGCTGGGGGTGGGGAAGCTGGAGCGCCCCCCCCCCCCGCAGTTATGGCGATGTGCTCACAGGCATGGCGTGGTCTGAACGGCACGCATTGGTGCTCACAAACGTGCTGTGGCGCTCGCAGGCTTCCCACCTGTTGCGGCGCCGAGCTCACAGGCATGGCTGGGTGCTCACATGCGCGTTGTGGCGCTTGCAGGCTACTGCGGTGCGCGTAGGGCAGGCGGACTCACTGCCAAGGTGTCGGAGGGCGGCAGGTCGGTTGGGCGGCAGATGCAGAATGTGGGGGTTTTGGCCATGGTTTCGTCGTCGTCGTCGCCGTCGTCGTCGTCGTCATCGTCGTCGTCGTCGTCGATGGCTCAGCTACCGCAGATTGGTTCGACCATTCTGCCTTCTGGCCAGTGCTCGGTTGCAGTGCGCCTGGTAAGGGCGCGCGCCTTCTCCAGGGTACCCTTGTGTCCTTGCCTCTGTGGCCTGTCCTTTGCCGCTTTCATTGGACAGCGTTTGCCAACAAATTCCAACGTGGGTTTCCAAGGGTTGTGTTTCCTTACCACCTGTCCTTACTGCACGTAAGGAATGGAGACGGCGGCGGCTTTGCAAACGCTCCCAACGCCACAAGCGCCAACATCCATCGACATTTACAGGGCTGATGCAAGCGCCGCCAGCACAATTGCCTCAACCGCCGCGCGTCCGACCCCACAAACACCAATATTCCTTTTGAGTAAAGGGGGCGGTGGTGGTGGTGGTTGCGGTGGTGGATGGGACCTCCTTCCACTACCATCAGTACCTCCGTCGAGGGAGTGGATGGCCAGCAGAAAGAGAGAGGTAGGCGGGTGATGATACAGCTGCGAAATTGCCAAAAGCTTTTACTGTTGCTGTTACTGCCGCAACTGCATCAACCACCGCCACCATCCTGCCCAATCGCCAGTGCCATTGTTTGGCTAAGGATGGCGGCCGCAGCGGTGGATGCGATGGTGGATGCGACGCCACCGTGCCAGCGCCAATGTGCCAGTCCACGAGCGCCTTTACTTCCGGCGCAACTACCCGCCGCCACAGTCGCGTCCATCACCGCAGCCACCATCGCCAACATTAGCGGCGGTGGCGGTGGAGTGCCGCTGGTGGTGGTGTAATGGTTCTAGCGACAGTGGTGTGTAGCATGATTGCCAACAATTGCTGTAGGAGTGATGAGTGGTGTTCGGCAGTCGTAGAGGTACTAGTTCGTAAACTGTGAAGGTGTCCCTGGTGGTGGCTTGGGGGCGCCTCCACCAACGCCGCCAGCATCGCCGTCGGCGCCGTCACCCTGGCCCAGAACGGGCGGTGGCGGTGGCGGTTTAGTTTTGGTTGTGGAGTAACGCCCGCGGTGGTGGAGGCGCGGTGGCTTCTGCTGCAGCACGAGCGAAAACACTCGTAGAAGTGGGTGGTGGTGGTGGTAAGCAGGGCCGAACCCATTACCACGTCCACCACCGCCAGCCCCTTGGCCAGAGAAGGGTAGCGGCGGTGGCAGAAGAGTAGCATTGCTGTGCGGGATCGAGCACATATTTCTTCACTGGAAGAGCGAAGGACATTTGCAACAGGAAGCACTTCTCGTGGTGAAATGCAAGGGAATTCCCTTGGTCGTGGGATTTAATACAACTCCTGTTTGTAGAGGTTTTCAATCGAATTCGCTTGTGCGAAGAACCCTAATCGAAATCAGGCCGTGGACGATCTCAATGATAATCATGTCGTAGAAGATTTTAGTCGAATCCCTCATGTAGAGGACTTCGATGGGATTCCGTTCGTAAAGGTTTGTTTCACGATTGAATGTGTACAAGATTTTAATTGGATTCCTTGTGTGGGGGATTTTCAACAGGATTCGTACTGTCGTGGGTTCCAGTCGGATTTTTTGTAAAGGATTTATACAATGTTCCTTTCGTTGAGGATTTCAATGCATTTCCTTGGGTATACGATTCCACTGGATAGCGTTGTGAAAGAAAAGGGATTTTTTTCTGATTCTTTTTGTGAAGGGTTTCTAGGCGTCCCGTTTTGGAATGGATTTCGATTAGAATCTTTTCGTGCCGGATTTCAACCTGCCCTTTTTTTGTCGAGGATGTCAATATAATGACTTTTGCCGAGGGATTTCGACCGGATTCCTTTCAATCGAAATTCTTGCGTAGGGAATTGAATCGGCTTTCTCTCTGTAGAAAATGTCACTTCGATGTCTGTTTGTAGTGGGCCTCATCCGGATTCTACCATCATCTCTTTCCCCACCTTTTTTCTATGTGCTACTTCTTTTTTTCCGAAGGAGCATTTGTACACATTCAAAGACGGGTTTCGCGTGCGATGCCCTTTGATGCTTTTAAATCTAAGTATTCCGACTCGTGTGCGCTTTCAGAGAGTATCCAGAGAAGTCATTGTTTTGATTGTTTGTTCATTGGTTGTTGAGATGCAAGGAACACGTTTCGGTTTATACTCTTCGAAAACGCACGCCAGCCGAAATAATTGGATTGACAAATTCGGATGGAGTTGCAAGCGTTATTTTGTAAATATTTACATTGCGTCTTCTTTAATTGTTTTCAAACAAATGATAAATATGGGGACTGCTATTATGTTGAAATTCTGATGAGACACATTCCGCTTGCAGAGGGTTTCAATCGATTTTTTCTTGCGGATTTCATTACAATGCCTTGTGTAGCCGATTTTCATATAACGCTTTGTGTAAAAAGGATGTATATTGAATTCCTTTGTGCACAGAACTTCAATCGGACTCCCCATGTAGAGGATGTCATCGAGTTCCTTCTGTTGCGGATTTCAAGTGAATTTGTTTTCGTCATTGGTTTCCGTACGTTTCCTTCTGTAAAGGATTCCTATATAATCTTTCGTGTAAAGAATATATGTCGGACTCTTTCTGTAGAGGATTTCAATCGAATTCCCTGTGTCGAGGATTTCAGTGGGATTCCTTTTGTCGAGGATTCCAGCAGGATTTCTTCGGAAAAGGATTGATTTACAAGTTAATTCCTCTTGTGGCGGATTTGCAAGGCTATTTCTTTTGTGGCGGATTTACAAGTTGATTCCTTGTGTGGTGGATTTGCAGATTGATTTCTTTTGCGGTGGATTTACGAGCTTATTGTTTGTAGCGCGTTTACAAATTGATTTGTTTGGGCCGGCTTACATGTTGAATATTCTTGCAACGGGTCCGTAGTGCAGGCCCTTCGACGGCGGATTGGTTGTGCGGCAATGCGTTTACGACGCCGGCGACGACCAGAAGGGGGTCCACCCATATGTTAAGCTTGTTTCCCCAGAGGGGACCCCAAGAACACCCAGTTCTCTGGAATTCCGTGTACAATATGGGTGATCTGTGGAATCCACACGCGCCCCATTTTCTGCAGGGTTTCCGTTGATAATCCGCTTGTAAACAACGGTTGTCTGTAGAATCCATGGGCGCAATCTTATATTCAAGATTCGTTGTATGTGGAATCCTGAGGTGATCCGGTTTCACGTTGCTGGCGTTCCGGCGCACGCAGGCAATTCGGTGTACACGGGCGCTGTTGCGCACACAGCTGCTGCAGTATACGCAGGCCTTGCGGCGTGCATGGGCGACGTGGTGCTGCAGTGCACGCGGCTGTTGTGGTGTACGGAGGCACTGCGGTGTGTACACAGGTGGCGCTGTGTTGTTCGCACGCATTGGACATTGTCGTGTGCACAGGAGGTGCGGTCCACACAGGCGATTGATGCGCCGGTGGCCTGGACGCACCCTGGTGGGATGCCGTTGCCGTAACCCTCCCAACCGAGCCCCCCCCCCTGGCCGTTACCCAGGAAAGAATAATAAGCGGTCGCTTGACGCGACAGCAAGCTTCTGAGTCGAGTGTGCGTGGCGCTATGGCGAGCGAGAGGTCCATTTTCAAAACGACCCTCCTCCTCCCCAAAGCAGATGCGAATGTTTCAAGTCGAGCGCGCGCGACGCTAGGGCGAGAGCTCCATTTTCAGGACGTCCCCCTCCTTCGTGGAAACAGCTGCGAACTTTCAAGACGAATGTGTGCGGCGCGAATGCGACAGCTCCATGCTGCAAGCGTCGCGCCCTCCATCCTCGAGATTGTTGCTTAGTTCAGGCTTCAGGTGTCCAAGTGGTGGAGTCTCAGGTGCCCCGCCCCGCCCGCCCCACTGACACGTCTGTGGGTGCGGCAGGGAGTAGTTGTACAGAAGAGTAATGGATGGAGGAGCGGAGGAGGAGGAGGAGGTGGAGGAGGAGGACAAGGAGGAGGGTGGGGAGGATCAGGAGGAGGTGGAGAAGGAGGAGGAGGAGGAAGAGGATGGGGGATAAAGGGGACAGGGGAACATTTGGGTGCGCAGGGCGAGAGTGTCGGCGCGAGGGGATGGACGCCGGGGCAGGATGATCAGGAGGAGGACCATGAACACAACGACCTTGATGCTTGCTTGCCGAACTCCTCGTCCTTGTCTTCCTTCGTTGTACCGCCTCCCTTCTCCCTCCCCTTTCCTCTCCCTCGGCGTCCTCCTTCCCGGCCCCCCCGGCCGCCGCCCCAGGTGGAGGGCCTGAACGGCAACATATCCTGCTTCGTGCTGCCCCAGACAAACCCGAAGACGGCGCACCTGGTGACGCTGGCGGTGAAGCCTTTGTCCCTACACGAGAAGATCTCCGAGGCGTGCCGCTGCTGCTTGCCTCGAGACTTCGGCCCGCGATCTCTCCCTCCCTCCCCCCTCGTTGCGGCTCCTCCTGGTCCGAAATCCGGCTGAATCCAGCTTAATCCCAGCAGTCCAGCACGATCCGTCCTAATCCGGCTTAATCTCGCTTTATCCGCGGCCCAATCTGGCGTAGCAGCCCCTGAGTGGGGCTTAATTCTCCCGAATGTTTCCGACGAAGACCTCCCAGTCGTGTTGCCTCCTAACTGCCCTTCTTTTCTGCTCCATCTTCGCCTCTGCATTTACATTATATGAATACTACTCTCCTCTCTCCCTTGGTGGCGTCTGGGAAGTGTCGGGCCCCCCTCCGCCTGATGGTTTTATACACAGGATTCCAGGGAGTTGGGTTTTCGCTGGGTTGTTTTGTTCTAAGTGCTGCTCTCGCTGAAACGCTGGCTTCATTTTCGGGCTACCGCTCATTCCGAATCGTGCTCCCGCTGCAGCGTTGGCCTCATTGCAACGCTTCCGCTCGTTCCGAATCGTGCTCCCGCTGCAGCGCCAGCGTCATTATTGAATCGTTTCGCTCATTCCGCCGGCCCATAGTGTAGCGTCGCTGGCACTTGCTTGCGTGCTCGGGGGGGCATTTGGGTGGCCTCCTGGGGCCGCTTGGGGGCCTCTTGGGGGCCTCCTGAGGGCCTGTTGGGGGCCTCTTGGGGCCTCTTAGGGGCCTCTTGGGGCCTCCTGGGGACTTCTGAGGGCCGAGGGCTCGAAACATTGTTTCGTGTTCCCCCCCTGGGGTCCCTCTTGGGGCGTTCTTGGGGCCCTCTTGGGCCGTCTGGGAGGCCTCTTGGGCCGTCTTGGAGCCCTCTTGGGCCGTCTTGGGGCCCTCTTGGGGGCCTCTTGGGCCCTCTTGGGGCGGTCTTGGGGGCCTCTTGGGCCGTCTTGGGGTGTCGTGAAGCAAAAAATGTGGAAACGCCAAAATCTCTCCAAAACCTAAGGAAAAGCAGTGAATTTTGCCTCTTGGGGCCCTGTCGGGAGTGCTCTTGGAGGCCTCTTGGGGCGTCTGGGGGCCATCGTGGGCGTCTTGGAGCGATCTTTTGGCATCTCGGACCCCTCATGTAGCATCTTGGGGGCCTCTTGGAAGCCTCTTGGCCCTTCTTGGGGCTCTCGGGGACGTCTCGGAGCCGCGTTGGTGCGCTGCTGGAGCGCCCTGGTGACTCCTCCCGAGACTCTCTCGGGACCTTGCCGGGGTACTTTCCGCCCCTGGGCCCCCAGGGGCCGCCCCGCGCGCGCGAAGTAGAAAGATTGTAAAGCAGTCACCGGAGATCTTAGCACGCCTCTGGCCCGTTGCTCCCGCTGCAGCGCCGGCGTCATTATTTCCAGCGCCATGCCACGGCATAGTTTTTGGTCTTTCCAAACAGGCTCCAAAATCTAGAAAATGGCCCCCCGAAAAGAAACCATCGGACGTGATTACACAGTCGGTGTCGATTCGTTGAATTTTTGGGCGTCGCCACGCCATGCCATGTCAGGCTACGTGTCCTCATTTCTGTGTTTCCGAGCTTGGTTGTTTTGTTTGAATGCTGGTCTCGCTGAAGCGCTGGCCTCATTTGCGGGCTACCGCTCGTTCCGAATCGTGTTCCCATTGCAGCGCTAGCCTGCGTGAAGGGGGGGGGACGATGCATGTGGGGGCAGCGAGGGCTGCCGACAAGGGGCCCTAGAGGGCCCCTACAGGGCCCCATTAGGACCCAGAAAGGAGCCCTCTCGGGCCCCAAAAGGGCACCTTTCTCCCCCTCCATTTCTCGCCCCCCCAGTTCACTCGCGCCCAAGGCCCGTGCATCCACGCTGTTGGTGAGCACTGGAATTGCCGCCACGTTACGAGTCAGCGAATCGGTGCCTGGCAAGCATGGCGCCCACGAGCATCGGCAGAAGCAGTGCCCCGACACCCATGCGCGGGACATACACTGTGACGAGCAACAGGGCAGTGCGCAGCACCACTGCGTCGGAGGGGGCAAATCGACCCCATATTTCGCGCGGAAGCAGCACCGTGATCCTGCGCACATGAGAATCAACCACTAACCTTGGTGTCTTCACTGGCTTGTCCGAGCTACCTCTCGTTCAGAGAGAGAGCGCTACGACCCGTATAGGCCGCCGCCGCCAGGCAACTCGGCGGCGAGGCAGGAGAGCGACGCGGACAGCGCATGAAGCAGCGAGTTGCACATGTGACGACGCCAGTCGGAAAAACCTCTGCGTGGGACCTCAGCCGTCCTCGCCTGCGGTCCACCAGCGGGCTGTTCGGTGGAGGCGAGCCTTCCACTTCTCGGCCACGCGCAGAGGGGGGGTATGGGGTCGGGGGGGAGTCTTCTTGGAAGAACCCCTGGTTCCTAGCAGGCGCGGGCCTTATCTACAGGTGCAGGGTCCGCGCCTTCTAAGAAGTCTTCCCCCCCCATGCCCCCTCTGCGCGCCGCCAAACCTCTGCTTGCTCTCCCAGCGAGCCCGACAGCTTCCCCACTGCACCCCGCAGCCTGCACCCCGCCATCCTGCAGGGCGTCTGTGTGTCCAGCCGTCATCGCATGCGGTTCGCCAGCCGGCTTTACGGTGACGGCGAGCCTTCCACCTCTGCTTGCTGTCCCAGCGAGCCCAACCGCCTCCCCACTGCACCCCGCATCCTCTGCACCCCGTCAGCCTGCACCCCGTCAGCCTGCTGGGACAGACCGCCGCTCGTCGAGCGACTGCGTGGGGGCCTGCCCGTCTCGGGATGCTCTGCTCGTAGTGCTCGACGTGTCTGTACAGCCTAGCGACGACGACGACGACGACGACGACGACGACGACGACGACGACGACCGACCACCGACCACCGACCACCGACCACCGACCACCGACGACCGACGGGGGCCGCCGGCTCCGTGCCTCTAGCTTTTTGGGGCACGCGGGCGCCAAGGTGCGCGAGCCGGTCCGGCGCAGGTCCAAGCGAGCGGTTGGCTGCACCGGAGGCCAGCACGGGGGCGGAGCGGGAGGAGCGAAGAGACGACGGCGGGGACAGCGGCGGGGCCCGCTGGACGCCTCTGCAGTTGGCACGTGGTCGCTCCAATGCGCGCCTCAGCAGGAGTGCAGTCGGGAGCTCGGGGGCGGCGGGTCGCTCGGCCGGTTCTGGCCCACCACGTCGTTTGCGGCGCGGCACACCATCCACGTCGCCTTGGTATCGCTCGGACGTGAGCACGTTTCCTCGGCGGGGGCTATCAAGGAGCATCCTGGATCACCCTGCGAAAACAGCAACGTACGAAACCGACAAAAAACACAGGGAATGGACGGCCGAGCAACGGGGAGTCGCGGCCCCCGGGCTCCAGCGTCCTGCGCCTCTACGAGCCTCCCGCCGCGCGGAGCGGAGCGACACGCTACTGTATCCGCTTGCAGGGGCTATAGCGCGTCGCAGGGGCCGCCAGGGCGACACACTCGGGTGCTGCCAGAAGCGCCCCTGGCCCGAGGGGCCCCCAGGATTTCCAAGGGGGTCCAAGAGGCCTCCGGAGCACCCCTCGCGAGGCCAGGAGCGCCTTTTGGCAACCCACGATCGACACGCTTTCCCAAAAGTGCCCGACGGTAAGTCGGGCGTCGCTCGTGCGTGGTGCAGTGGCTTTTGTTCGCAGGGGCAGCTCACAGCACGCCTGGGCTGCCGCGCCTCGCCCGGGCCGCGAAGCGGGAGGATTCTGGGGCACTGGCGCCCCGCAGTGTCTCCGGAGCCCCCACGGCCAGAGCCGGAAGGCGACTGCGATGCGAGCATCGGAGGACGCGTAATGGAAAAGCGATGGACGGGGGGGCAGCGAGGGGCCCTTTAGGGCCCAAGAGGGGGCCTTCAGTGCCCGAAAAGGGCACCTTTCCCCCCCCCCGAAAATTCATCGCCCCCCCAGAAAGTCGCGCCCAGGAGCCGAGGATCAGAGGACGGACGGCTTTGCCTTCGCGTTCGCCCTCTAGGGCCTCCTGGGAGGCCCTCGTCGCCACGGCGGCACCAATTTCGAGATTCTGGTCAGAACGCACCCCTGGAGAGGCCTGGGGAACAGCGGCATCGGTACGTCTTGGTTCCCCAAGAGATCGGCCAGATGGCCGGGAAAGGCGCACGGGAGGTATACTGCGACTCCGGGCCGGCGCTCGTCAAAGGCAGTGTTGTTGTGCGCGTGGCTCGGCGGAGGCGCCGTGGGCAGCCCCGACGCGTGCCCAGCCCGGTTGTCGCGTGCGCGGCGTCTCGGGTTTCGGTCTCGGTGCCTAAGCAATCTCCGGCACCGGGGGGATCGTGTGCCTCCACTCGGTTCGGCCATGCGCAGAGGGGTGTCAGGGGGGAGGGGGGAAGGCTTTTTTCTTAGAAGCACCCCTGCTTCTTAGAAGGCGCGGGCCTCGTCTGTTAGATGTAGGGCCGGCGCCTTCTAAGAAGCAGCCTCTTTCTAAGAAGCCTTTTCCCCTCCCCCTACCCCCTTGTAGGCGCCGCCAATCCACTCTGTGTCTTTTTGGCACTTCCCCGCACATTGGCGAAGCGCCTGACGGTGGTGGCCTCTTCATCGGCCGTGGTTGCTGCGATGGCCTGGTCAATGCTCGCTCACGAGCCTCGAGGAGTAGGTGGATGTCGGCATCGTGCATCCGTCGCGCAACTTTGATCTGTTTGCATCTGGCGGCGGGCCCACCAGCTTAGACGCAGGGCTGGTTTGCACCCTGTTGCAAAGCAGGGGCGGAGGCCTGGACAAGCCGCGCGTGCGTCGTAAACGTTTGAATCAGGCGGTGGGCCCATCAACTTGGACGCAGGGCTGATTTGAAACGGATCCGGGGTGAACAACTGCACCAGGTGGACCCCGGGCGGGATCGGGGGACCGATCCCTCCATCCTGATCGATTTGCCGGAATCCCAACCAGTTCAGACTCCCCGGCCGCCTCCACACTGAGGCAGGGCACTTCGGGTTTGAATAACCGGCACGTTCCACTACTCGCAAAATGCCTACCCGCAAACGTCCGAAAAACACGTTCGCCTCGATGTAATTTATC